GTGAATCACTCCTACCCTTCTTTTATCTGGGCCCCAGTGCCCTGTAGCTCCATTGTCTGGGGAGTCCAGACCAGATTGTGGACTTGCTGTAAACTTTACCCAGCGTTCAGCTATACTCATTTATATGTAGTTTCATATTAAATCATCTAAGGCCCTCACAGAATCATAGGGTGAGTTTGTGGTAGCTTTTCCCCCAAATTATTCTGAGATGTGTTTAGATTGGCATTTGAGTACCAGTTTTATTTGTTACTGAGTATAAATCAAAGAAATAATTTCTGGATAGATTCAGACCCAAATATCTCCAGTACAGCACAAGTATATATATATATAGCCAGTAGAATGTTATATATTTTAGTTCACTTTGATAAAATATTGTTTGTTCTAACATCAAGAACATATTTTAAAACAAACCTTTTCAGCACTAAACTCAATCAGTATTGTGGAGCCAAAAAAATCATATAATCAGAGAAAATATATTTAATAATTGGTGCCAATTTTTAGATGGTGGTCTTTTGAATTTTCTAAATTTCCTAATTAGGGTGTAGCAATTTTAATGACAAAGAACTACACACAAGCACCTAATTACAGTGGAACACCACTGATATTGAGGAGGTAAAGAAAGGGTAACTAACATACTATCCATTTTGTCTGTTACTATCCCACAAAACACATCAGAGTTCAAAACTATAAGATGAAACACATTCAGCCAGCCTATTTTCAAAAGCTCAACTCTCTGTTTTTGAAATGCACTAATTTAAATTTAAAGACACATATTTAATGTTTTCCCTTTGTAGGTTTTCAGCAGCATACACACATGGAGTCACCATCTGTTTTCAGCCTGGTTCATTACCAATTCATCCTCCTGCTCTGTATTATCAGATCAAGAGGGTGGACATAAATTTGGCCACCTGGGCACTGGTGCCATTAACGTGTACCCCAGCCACACACTTATAAAGTGGTTTTGCTTGGAGCTGTAACGTGGTAGTGCTTCCTTTTTCCATTTGATCAATGTTGAGATTTGTTCAGTAAGCTCTTAATAACATAATTTCAGAACAAACTGGAGGACACTAAGAACTTTCAGGAGTATTTTGCCTAGAAATCCAGGAGAAAACAGCTTCTGTTTTCAGGAACAGACACAGGATGACAGGACCAAAGGGGCAGGGATAGAATCAGAGAAGGGAGAAGAGAAAGGCAGAAGGAGATACATGAAGACATAACACAGAATTAAAGGAATACACATAGGATAATTTACTTATTTTAATGAATGCATGTATGAAAGAGCTCAGAGTGGCTCAGTATCATTTTGAGTATAGCTCATCATTAAATGTGGGTGAGCCCACTTTTCTTCCTCCTCGTGAGGGAAAACCTATATCGATTCATCCCAAGTCCTTTAGTTAATTGCAAAATTGAAGTGTTTTTAAAATTAAAACAGAAGTTTTACTTCCCTAATTAAAACATTAACTGACCATGTGTCACCTTGCGAACTGCACTGGATTGAGAACTCATCTGATAAATATGAAGTAAATTTAAACAAATTGCCTTGGTTCATTTTTACTATCCCTTTTAAACATTGAGCAAGACCAGATAAGTACAGTTAGGTTATAAAAATAATAGGAAGCAATTTATTGTGTAGTAGTCATATATTTTAGAAAAATTTAATATTATAACTGAAAAATCATATAAAAATTAAAAATTATCTCTGCTGACTCTCAAAAGCTTTCTTCTTGGGATTCTGGGCTGATTCAGATTTTAGAATAAAAAAAAGAAAGGTCTTATCGTGGTATTAAAGCCATACTACCCTGAACGTGCCTGATCTCACCTGCTCTCAGAAGCTAAGCAGGGTTGGGCCTATTAGTACTTCCATGGCAGACTGCCTGGAAGTAGCAGGTGCTATAGGTTTAACCCAGGAGGCAGAGCCGAGATCACGCCACTGCACTCCAGCCTGAGCGACAGAGGGAGACTCTGTCTCAAAAAAATAAAAAAATAAAAAAAAAAAAAAGGAAAATAAATCAGGTCAGGCACAGTAGCTCATGACTGTAATTCCAGCACTTGGGGAGGCCAAGGCAGGTGGATTACCTGAGGTCAGGAGTTCGAGAACAGCCTGGCCAACATGGTGAAACCCTGTCTCTACTAATAATATAAAAATTAGTAGAGCTGAGTGTGGTGGAACACACCTGTAATCCCAGCTATTTGGGAAGCTGAGGCAGGAGAATCGCTTGAACCCGGGAGGCAGAGGTTGCAGTGAGCCGAGATCGTGCCACTACACTCCAGCCTTGGCAAAAAGAGTGAAACTCAGTCTCCATAAATATATAAATAAATAAATTGTTTAAAAAGCCGGAAGCAAATATTGAACAATTAACATCCTTTCAATTAACCAATAACCAAACCTTTACTGAATTGCTACAATATTTGCAATTCTGAAGAAGAAAAAGATGGAACATAAAGCATACAGCTCTCACTTTAAAGGGTTTACAGCTCAGGTTGGTGAGATAAGATTATTGAATATAAAAGCTGAAGCATTTTATTTAAAAGTTTTACTAGTTATCAAATTATATTCACTGCAGAAATTCAGAGGAAGATATCAATGATGATAAGTCAGAGCAGTAAGACCACATGAAGGAGGTGATGGTTCTGGGGAACTTGTGAAGCATGGTGCATTAGTTTGCCAAGGCTTCCATAACAGAAGACCACAGATTGGGTGGCATAAACAACAGAAATTTATTTCTCATAATTCTGAATGCTGCAAGATCAAGCTGTCAGCAGGTTAATTTCTCCAGAGGCCTCTCTCCCTGATTGTGGATGACCCATCTACTCACTGTGTTCTCTTAAGGCCTTTTCTCCACGCACCCATGCTCGTGGTGTCTCTCTTCCTCTTCTCAAAAGAACAAGTCTTATTGGAAGAGGACCCTATCCTGATGACCTACTTTAGCCGTAATCATTTCCTTAAACGTCCTATCTCCAAACACAATTGCACTGGGAGTTAGGGCTTCAACAATGGGCTTTGGAGGGTGGAGAAGACAAATCGGTCCATGATGGATGGAATCTGGATGAGGCTATGTTTTGTAGGAAGGGTGGGCAGTGATATGATATTAGAGAATAAAAAGATAAGCCTCATTAACAGAATGATTATCAGCCATCACTAATACAATTTTGTAGGTTGCCTACATCTGTTGCATAGAATAGGCACATGGAAAAAACAAAAATCATGTGTTCCCTTGGTCATCTAATGATATATGAATCTTTAAAGAAGTTTGACAACAGATTATTATATCACCGTTATTGGAATATTTGTCTATGTCTTATATCAAAATTAGATACTTCATTAAAAATAAATGTCCTAGGCCGGGCGCGGTGGCTCAAGCCTGTAATCCCAGCACTTTGGGAGGCCGAAACGGGCGGATCACGAGGTCAGGAGATCGAGACCATCCTGGCTAACACGGTGAAACCCTGTCTCTACTAAAAAATACAAAAAACTAGCCGGGCGTGGTGGCGGCGCCTGTAGTCCCAGCTACTCGGGAAGCTGAGGCAGGAGAATGGCGTAAACCCGGGAGGCGGAGCTTGCAGTGAGCTGAGATCCGGTCACTGCACTCCAGCCTGGGCGACAGAGCCAGACTCCGTCTCAAAAATAAATAAATAAATAAATAAATAAATAAATAAATAAATAAATGTCCTTGTTCAAATTCTTTTATGCACATTGTTTATTCTGGTGAAATATCCTTTGACTCTTCTTTTCTAGATCTACTGATCAGATTTTAACTATAAGTCATATAGTTTCTTGATCCCAAGAAAAAGCAAACTGAAAAACTGTAATACAGAGAATGCCAAGAACTGTACTGGGTTATTAGTTACAAAGGTAACTAATTACTCCAGAATTTTGGTGATTTGAAGTGATAAGCATTTATTTTTTGGCTCAGAGTTCTATTTGAATTGGGCAACCATTCAAGACAACATTTCCCCCTGTAGTAACTTAGAGATCCAAGCTGCTTTCACCCTGTGGTTCTTTGTGGTCACAGCCAAAGGAGAAAAGAAATCATGTAGAACATGTCCCTGCTCTTAAGTATCCCAGCCCTGAAGTGACACACGTGGTTTCCCATCAAATCCCATTGGTTAAAATCGGTCACAAAGACCCATCTAATTGCAAAGGGATTGAGAAATGAGATGTTTCTCTGTGGTCAGAGAGGAGAGAAGAGAATGTAAACAAGTACAAGAAGTCTCTACCATATTTAGTTTTCCCAGATAGTATATATAGGAGAGAGGAAACTCAGGTGAAGCATGTGTGATGGGGAAAAAGATTAGCAACATGTTTATTTAATTTAAAAACAAAATGGAAGTACTCAAAGCTTTAGTTTTCCTATTTTAAACAAACACTGAGAAAGATACTTTACCACGATCTTGCTTTCCAGTTAAATACCATGATTGCATGTGTATACAATATCTAACTGTTCGAACTTGTATGCCCTCACATCAGAGAGCTGCTACCTAAGTACCCCAGTAATTACAAGTTTTAAAAAAGTCCTTGTGTTGAAAATTACAAACCCAAGGACCTATAATTCACAGAATGTTGTTTTGTTGTTCACTTGATATATTTTATTAAATTTGAAAGAAAACAATTTGTAGGGTCATTACATAATTATTTCATCATAAATGTAGATGACATTGGTAGGTGATATGGTAACCTTAAATTAAGTATCATTAGCACATTTATACAAAGAGCCATTTCTAAAGTTTTTGAACATTGACTTATTTTATGTTCTTTCTACCTCAAAACCGTTTTCAAGGAGATTATGAACTATTGTTAAGTTTCACTCCTGCAGTGTACAATGAGGAAATGAATTTGAGAAGACCAAAACTTGAAGTCATTATAATTTTTTTCTAATAGTCTTTCACATCTTCTGATATTTTTATTGTAAAATAAAGGGGAAGGCAACTATGTAAGCCTTGAGTCCCAGATCTTAGTCACTCCTAGTGACGCCTGGCTCCTGGTTTTTTCTTCTCCAGACACTTTTTCAACTTCTTTACTAGTGCCTCATTTGCTGGCTGATGTCTAAGCTTTGAGTGTCCCTAAGTCTCTCTCTTGAGTATTCTCTCTCTCAGTCATTCCATAAACTTCCATGGTTCTAAGTGCTATCTACACACTGCTTTATCCCAAAGTCATATCTGTAGCCCTGATCTTTTCCCTAAACTCCAGATTTATATCCAGCTGCCTTCTTGATATCTCCACATAGATATCCAATAGGCACCTCAAACTTAGCATGTGAAAAATGGATGTATTATTATCCTGTCATCCCTGTGTCCCCTATATACCCTGTTGCTCAGGACAAGAAGCATAGGAAACTTCTTTGGTCCCTTGTCTTTCTTTACCCTACATCTAGCTCATTTCTTTACCCTACATCTAGCTCATCAGCAAGTCTCATGGGCTCTTCTACCAAACTATGTCCTGAATCCAACCACTTCTTTCCTTCTTTACCACCATCTACCAGCTCATGTCACACTAATTCTCATCTGATTATTGCAATAACCTGCCAACTTGTGTTTCTGCCTTCACTCTGAAAATCCACCTTCCACACAGAAGCCAAAGTAAACACAGCACGTGAGTCAGCACATTGCTCCCCTGCTTAAAATCCTCCCATACTTCTCCAAGCCCGTAGATCAAATCCAAGTTTTCACGACAGCTTTCATGACCCTTCATGACCTTGGTTTTGTTTACTTCTGACCTCATGTTGGTCCCATTCTCCTCCTAACTATGCTCTAGTAACTCTTCCTTTTTGCCTGTACGTTGGTCTTGCTGACCCTGTTTGCACTTCGGGACCTTCACACAGGTTGTTTCCAGTGTCTGGACTGTTCTTAGACTTTTATACATTATTCAGGCTTCATGCAAAATCACACTTCCCCAGAGATGCCTTCCTTGATGCCTCCTCCATTATCACATCACTTATTCTACTGTCTCTGTAGTAGAAGGGCTCAAGATGACACAAAACATCGGCCTAAAAATTACTTAGCAGATGAAATGAACAAGCTAGAGAATGGGAGTACTGCTACCATTGTTTACAAGGTTTTACTCCTAAAAGGCATTCAGCACATGCTCAATTTTCATAGATTAGGCATAAAATGAGGACCAGACTCTAATAAGGAAAAGATAATGGGAAAAAAACAGGTAAGGAGTTACAGATTCCAGAGCAAGTAAGGAAGCCAGAAAGGGCATTCAAATAGTTATTTTTTAAAAGCATTTTCCTGGCTGTGTATGAGTCTATAACCTTAATTCATGTAAATTGGGCTACAAGAGCAAGGAAAGACTGCATCACTGACACACATTACAGAAAGGATGGCTGTGTATGAGTCTATAACCTTAATTCATGTAAATTGGGCTACGAGAGCAAGGAAAGACTGCATCACTGACACACATTACAGAAGGGATGGAGTGGTCTTAATGAAAAAGAGACAGAAGCTATTCTCTTATTGGAATGCAGGGGTAGGGTACACTAAAAGGCAGTGGTACTACTTAAATCAATGAAGAAGTTAGGAGATAACTTATCCAGAAAAGAAAATTAACTTTTTAAATTTTTAACATTTCACTTAAGGTTTGGGCCCAAAACAAATATAATATCCTATGGCCAGGAAGAATCAAAATAAGAACTAGAGACTTCAAGAATGGCATTATAAAGTTGGAAATTATTTCCATACATAGGGTAGTTAAAATGGCATCTGCATTCAACACAGTTATTGGGCTCCTACCAGAAGCAGAGTGTATGTAGCTGAGACAGAGTTAGAGATAGATAGGCTTTCATAGTTTGCAAAGACATTTCATGAGTTATCTTGTATACCAGGGGTCAAGAAATCCAGTCTGTGGACCAAATCCAGCCTGGCCACCTATTTTTGCATGGCTGACGAGCTAACAATTTTACACTTTTTAAGTGGTTGCCAAGAGTCAAAAGAGTATATTATGACATGTGATAACTATGAAATTCACATTTAAGTTTGTATAAAGTTGTATTGCAACATTGTCATACCTATTGCAACATTGTCATGCCCATTCATTTTCGTACTGAAAATGGCTGCTTTTCTGCTATAACAGCTGAGTAGCTGCCACTGAGATAGTGTGGTCCACAAAGCCTAAAATGTTTACTCTCTGGCCCTTTACAGAAAAAGATTGCTACTTCTTTTCTCGACAACAGACATAGGGAAGGCAGCTGATGGCTGAATCATAACTAAAGTAGAAAGGAGGAGAAAGGAAGCCAGTAGAAAAAGAATCAAATTAAAGTGGAATGTGCACCTGGGGAGTCTGAGGTCATAAAACCCAAGGAGGAGTTAGTTGGTAAAGCCATTTGTGAACACTACCAAAGAACTACTGTTCAGCTTCTTAAATGAAGATATGCGTTTTTCTAGGGACAAAGAACAACTTGCCAAGGAGTATGCAAAACCCAGGACTGAATAAACATGGAACATCTTCCTGAAATGTGATTTTGCTCCAAGGTTTTTGGAGGGAATGTCAAAGGATAGGGGAATAATTTTGTATTTAAAAATAGCCCTTTTATTTAGTAGAATACAAAATTTGCATGAATTATTTTAAAATCAGGATTAAAATGAGGCTGCTTCAGGTTATAATTCCAGGGTTATTTGCTTTTCTCTGGCTGTAAGGGTACTAGCGGAAAGGTTTGAAAAATATGTCATGGAGTGCTCCAAAGAGTGTGTCTGGGTGAAGTCACTCTCTAGGACATTAAGTTGAACCTGGAAAGCAAAAAGTTGTAACTCCCCTGTCAATTCCAATCTATTGATAATGTTTTCTTGGAACACCTTTGTTGGGAAGGATTCTGAATCTACGTCCTGCTCAGAGGTACAGAGTGAGTGAGTAACAACGTCTGCTAGAGCAGGAGAAAATGGCACATGGCAGTTTTCTGTAATGATTCATCGGAGATGAATATGGAAATCCATCAAAATCTTTATTCATCACACATTTTTCAGCTTCTTCAACCTCTCAGTCAAGGGTATGCTAGAAGGTAGTGGTGCTACCCACATAAATGAGAGACTGTATGTAGAAAAAATATTTGCTTTTTGAATATTTAATATTTCACTTTAGGTTTGGGCCCAAAATAAAGATCTATTTTTGTTTTAATAAAAAGTAAAACAAGAATTGGAGATTTCAAGATTTAATGTTTATCACCTACTTTTTTTTTTAATCAGAAACCAACATGTGCTAATATCATCTACTTTTAAAGCCATGTCAGTCCTTGCATTTCTGTCTTTGTGATTCAAGGGGTATCAACTAATACAGTGAGCATGTCCAAGTTTACCATCAAGGAAACCTTGAAGATTTTACAACATTCATCCATGCCATCCAGTCTTTTGTTGATCTCTGTAAGATACATGGGTGAAGACAACATTAAAAGGGCACTGAAGAATTGTAAAATTTTATTCTATAGGGAATGGGAAAGTATTTTTTTGAAAAGGAAGAAAAAAATGTTAATAGAAAAATAAGTGGTAGAAATACAAAGGAATAATTGGAGTGAGTGAAGCTGGGGGCAAGAATGATGTCTAGGAAGAGTGGAACAGTCCAGAAAAAGAGACAAAGAGGACCAGGCCTTGGGCAAAGAAAGTAAAGGGGTAGGGAGAAAATCAAGAGATATTTCCAAAGTAAACTCATTAGATATTAGTAACTGACTAGATGTAGGGAACAAAGGAAGTAAATGACAAATACAAGAGCCTTTAATCAACTAGCTAAATAATTAACTGTCCAATAGGGAAAGCAGGAAAGGGAACAGTTGAAGGCAGGTATCAGTGATTACGCGGATCATTTGTTTGTTTGCTCTTAGATCTACCTGCTGCCCTTCCCTCAGGCTCTTCTGCACCACAGAAAACTGTGTTACCCAGACTCCCTTGCCTACTGGCTTCTGGGAAGCTTTGGGCAATAGCGGGCACTGGTGGAAGACTGGAGGTTGTGAGATAGGGAGAAGCCAGGGTATTTCCTCCTCTATGAATTTGCCTCAAGCAACATTTCTCACAGCGGCCAGATCATGTCCAATATTTCGGCTCCTACCAAACCAGCTTTCTGTCCTCAGTTCCAGCTCCTTCTGTGGTTATAGCTCTAGCCTTAGCTATGGTTCTAAGTCTAGCTGGGCACCTGTGGCTTCTAGATTCTGGAAACTCCACCTCTTCGTGTAATCCCTCTTGCATTAGGGGTAAAATAGTGTCTCCTGCTGTTTCTAATCTCTGGGTCATCTTGGCAACATATTTTGGCTCCGTGTCTCCTTTATCACCTGTATAACCAATTCCTGGTGTTAAATTCCCTGTTTGAAATACCCTAACTAGTTTATTTCCTTGGTTGTACCCTTATTGATACAGGAATGAATTCCGTTTTGTGTGTATCTGTGTATGTATGCTGCTTATATCAGGGAAACTCAAGCAGATGTAAACGTTTTAGCAAATAATGCCCAGGCATCAAGCAATAGATCAATACTTTTCATAAATGTTCTAGTTTGTTAATAAGGAGAAATCAAAAGAATCCAATGAAAAATGTGATGACCAACTTGTATAGTACTTAGTGTATAGAATGCTGTGCTGACCATACTTTACACATTTTACCTAATCATATCCTTAAAGTACAACCTTGTATATATTTTCATTTGGTCCTTAAAACACAACCCTTGGAGGCAGATGATAAAGTGATCCCCATTTCACAGATAAGGAAACAGAATGGAGGGATTCAGTAATTTTCACAGGCCACTCTCAGTCTGGATTAGAACTCGGACGCTTGGACTCTAATTTATAGTTATCTAGTTTATACATAAACTAGCAACACTAGTTGTGCTAGTTTACACTAACTAGAAAACCAGTTAGTGTCCTAGATGTAGTTACCAACATAGGTTTTTAAAGATTTGTCTTTTTTAAAGGACTGTTATATTTTTGGGGTAGAACAAAGTACTAAGTTATTTCTAAATGTATCTCTAAAGTAAAAAAAAACTCCACAAAATATAATTTTGAAGTTTTTAATGCACAAAAAAGAACATCCCAGGAACAACAGGTATTGACTTATTAATGATGAAGCACTATATAAGGAGACCCCTCCCCACTTAGTAAATGGGAAAATAGTGTAAATAGACATGAAAGGAGGTAACACTTCAGGATTAAATGCAAACCCTAAAGTTGTATACAACATTCATATATGGCTTATTATCTCATAGCAATATTTTCATAATGATGTATATGATATTTATCCTTATCGGTAAGATGCTTTTGAATCAAAAGTTAAACAAAAACACTGAAGAGGTAGTTTTGCCAATGCAAGGTGAAAAAAAAATGGCTTTACCTTGCTTTGTTTAGAAATCCACAACCATTATTTTTCTGTTCTAATTTTCTCCTGGATCAGCCAAGAAGATAATAATGTTTTGAGAAAAAGCCAATTCACAACCTTCTAAAAACTGGTTCCCCCAAGTGAACAATGATGCGTTCGAAACAACTGCTCTGAAAGTCACCTGGGAAGTTTCCACAGTGTTCCTCTCCATCTTGGATCTGAAACAGATTCTGGCTCAATAGAGACTTGTTAAGATCTGACCAGCAGTCACAGAAATTCATCCATTTATCTCCTAAAATTCTATGCACAGGCTCATGTTAGTAACTTCTTCAGTGACCCAAGAACATTGGCAGGTGCCCTGTCATTGAAAGTCAGGGACTGCTTTAAATTTGGGGGGCAGGGAAAAAGGCAGTCAGAAATAATGTTTGGACAATTCTGTAGCTGGCCTGTGAAATTGGCTACAAGTGACTGGATATAGTCCCTCATGTTTTCAGTTGTGTTTCTTCAAAGTCATCACATCTTAGACTCAAAGGCAGTTTGGGCTTCTGATTGCCAGATGCCACCTGCTGCTATTTCTATGTGTGGGACATGTGGAGTGGGGAAGGTCTATACAATATGCAAACTCTTCGACACTGGTCATTTGACTCTATATACAAAAACTAGTTTATCCTACCCTTACAATGAGAAATAAGCCCACAATGAGGGGAAAAAAGTTTCAAGAGACAACAAAACATGTGTCAATTCTCCAAACTAGAAAAGTCATTTACCAGACAATGGATTAGGAACCACTAGAAACAAAGTGACATATTAATCAGGTATGACTCCTTACGCACAAGAAAGCATAAATATACAGTAAATAAGAGCTTTATATGTAGCCCCTGCAGAATATGTACATATTAGGGCTGCTGTGAAACTGAGCGGGAATTTCCAGAGCGTATCCTCAGCTAAAAGCAGTTTCATCGCACAACAGTGTGAAGGTGACAGATGCTGAGAATACCATGTGGTAACCACTAAGCAGACATCCACATAAACGTATCCTTGAAAATGCACAACGTGAGAAATAAATGTCACGAGTGAATAGCGCATTGCCTGCCAAGCATCTTCTTTCACATAAATAGGCAGAAGTCCGTCCTCCAGCGGTGGTCTGCAGCCTCACACCGCTAGCGTGTCCGTGGTGCCGGGGACGGATTCTGTCAGCACACACTAAGCCAAGTCATGGGCTGTGCACTTACTCCTGCCTTCACAGTCTCCAGATTCAAACCAAAGCATAAATAACACAGGGGCCACGCTGGTGGTGCTTCCTTTCACCATGTTACTGGGAACAGATACTGGGTAGAGCAGCACAAAGGCTGCACACCAGAGTGCAGGAGTGGAGAGTAGCTTTGTGCACGTTTGCAAAAACAAAAAACCCTAAAAATCTACCAGATGTGTCTCTTGTTTTATTGGTTGGCTCTGTCTGTAGCTAGGAAGACGCTGTGTTGCTCCTGGGCTCTTTCTATCAGCTTCCTTTTCTTTTTCTTGTTCCTCTTCTCCTTCGCCTTTGGTGTTCTCTTCCCTACAATGAAGGAAAGAAATGAAGAGATGTCAGAAATGGCTCTTTCTCTAGGAAAGAAAACACAAAAACATTGGGAGTTTTGCACAAAGCCCATCTGGAAAACATCACCTATGGAAAAAGCCTCAAAGAGAAAATTGTTCACATTAATTTTGACAGAATAATAATAATTTACTAAATTGGATATGCTCTCTAAAACAGAGACTGATCTTCCTGTTACACGGAACTGGCATATTGAAAAACCTCCCAGTGGCCTGATCCGTCTTTCAAATATCATCCTGCCACAAAAATTCCATTTATTCCCTCCTACTTTTAACAATGCTACCCTTTACTACACATCTTTACATCTTATTACTGCTCCACATGTCAGTGGGTCAAAAGAAAATAAGCATCTATCTATAGCAAACATACCAGAAGTTTCAAACTCCTCTCTCCCTTCCCCATGGGGGGAAAATGTCTTGCTTTTAACATTATTTCCTCCATATTCCAAATACCAATGTATAAAATGACATATGTGCAATCCTTTATTTTCTATAAAAATTCATGAGGACATCATTCATTATATACCTTATGCTTCTTATCCAAATCCCCTGGACAAGTTGTTGTTATTAATGGAGAACAAGAAGAATGCTTATTTGTTCTGATGAACTGGTGGTATGTGTCTGACTACCAGATGATCATACTAAGTTATCCTATTTCTCTTCTTTGCCTTAGCCACTAGGAAGCCCAGGCTACAAGCTAACTAGTTGAGGTTTTCCTCCATCAGGAATTTTTAAAATGCTGTTTTTCTCTTTGCCTCTGCTATATTTTACTTCCTCCATCTGTGGTTATAGTTTTATAGTCTTACTTTATAAGGTCTCAATGTTTCTAAGTATATATACGTAAGATTTTGAGAAAAAAGAATAAAGAATATGAGACATCTGTCTTAGGTCCATCACCCTCTTTGAGTTCTAAATACACAGAAATCAGAGGATTTTTAGAACAGAAAAGGGCTTTAAAGGCCTCCTGCATTTTACAGAAAGTAAGTCACCCCTAGACACCTTCAGTACAGGAAGACTTTTGTCTCAGTGAACGAGAAAGAATCCTGTTGGCTGTTCTTCCTCTCTTACTTTCCCTACTTCAAATTTTATCTTGTAGTTCTACAAAACCTAACTTTTCTCTTCCGTATAAGGTGTAGCTATTTGACAGCACAGTGATCAGTACTACGAATAGGGAACAGAACATTAAGTTTTGTGCTCTTCATCCTTCCCATACCTGTAAAATTACATAACCCAGACCCTTTCATTCCAGGCATATAGCTGGCCAATTTTTCAATCTAGCCTATGGAGAAGTAGGCTGATGTCAAACATGAAAAGGAAACAGACCAGAGTCTAGGGATATACATGTATTCGGAAACCAGAGTCATACAAGGTTAAGGCAGGCCATGAGATTTCTAAATAAGGTAGATGTTTCTTATTTCTGTTCCTTCTGATCAGAAAGGATCTGTTTTAAGGATGGAAAACAGGCTTACTCTTCAAGACCCTAGCACAGTGACTGGCACTTAGTCTATAGTCAATAAACATTTGCTGAGCAAATGTTTTTACATCTTTTTATCACAAGAAAAAAAGATTTAAAAGAATAACTTATGTTTAATAGGACATTGCATTAAAACAATGAGAACATGATCATGCCCCCATATTAAATTATAAAGGTCCTTAAAGCTAACTTCTGCTTCTCATTAAATTCTGGCATTAATGTTATAATGGCATTTTGCCATCTTGAAATGTAGTTAATCCTACGCAATGAAACGTTAGTTCAAGCCATCATTAATCAAAGCAGCTGTAAAGTTACAACTATTTAGTAACATTATTTCTAATGATGAGACACACCAAAGGAGGGCAGAAAAATGAAATACTTAATACAAAATAGCATATTTTAAAAGCTTCAGTTATAAGCGTTGTGAAGAAGTTTTTGTTCTGTATATTCTCTAAATAAACAACAAAATCCTTAGTTTAAAAAATCATTACTCACTACATTTTAAATTCATTTGGTTTATGCTTAATTGATATAAAGCCTGGAGTTTCTTTTAAAAGAAAATTGAAATTAAGTGAATGGAAAAATAAAGCTTATCTTACTAGATTTTAAAAATGTGTTCTGCCAGAATAAAAATATACTGAATATATGTTAAAGAAAGCTTTTCACATTCACAAGAAAGCTTCGTGTAAATTATGTAGTTGCGAGTTAAATATGTACTACTTTCACTAACAGCAAATCCATGCAAAATGATGGGAAAAGCTCATTTTAAGATGGTCAATTTCATGTCATTTACCCAATATATTATTCTGAAGCAATTGTCAATATTAAATGGTTTTGGGTTTGCTCGCTGATATGATATTGTGTAATAGCGAAGTTACTCAATACTTGCATAAAACAGTTGGTATCCTGGCCAAAAATTCAGCAATGCTTCTGAAAGCTTATTTATGTAAAATAATTTTTTAACTTGTACAATTACTCTGTTGGCAATAAGCTATATGGTACCAATTCCAACAAGTAATGTGTTGGGGGCCCTAATTATAACCCTAAAGATTCTCCTCAGAAGTCTCTCTTGAATGACACACCTCTTTGCTATTGTTCGGTTGGTTGGTTTTGCTTTTGGCCCGTCCCATTTCTCACATAAGATATATTGCAAATACCGAGGAATTAAGATGGTTAGCCAAGATTTGACCACAGACAGGCCTAAATTAACTGAAAATATTTTGTGGTCCATACTACATTGTTCTGACTTCAAGCCCAGCTCAAAGTAGTAAAAGAATACTAAAATACAACATAACATACAGAAAGGGTCTTTCATACATATTCTTTTTTCACATTCTAAGATTTTCAAACGTGAGAAAAGAAATTGGTAAGATTAAAGCTAACAAAAATCCTTGTTTTTATCTATATATTTGAAAATAGGTTATATTAGACATACAAATGTGCTAATTTCCATTTCCGCTTAATTTCTTTACCTCTGTGGATATGGGATTAGACTTGGAGAATGATTTCTAGACTTCAATTGCTGCACATTCCCAAGCACATATATGCTATACGGGAAGTATTTAAAGGCAAATATGATGCCAGTCACCCAATGCACAATTCAAGTCACGAATTTAACTTTACTTTTTAGCTCATGAGAGAAGACCTGGAATAGATACTGCCCAGGATTTAAACAAAAAAAAAAAAAAAAAGGTTTGAGTTTTACGAGAGGATTGTCAACATCCAACATATCCAGTTCTGATGACAAATTTTGCATATCTTTATCCCTAGTGTCTTGAGAATGCAGTGGCCTTAACACATCATAACTAAGGGAATATCTTCAAAATCAGGTAGAATCAGGTCTACAGGGCAGATCTTTTTAGCACTGTTATGCAGATGCAAGGAGATGACTGGTCCCAATTATTACCATTTTTAAGGGAGGCAATGCAGTGTGGTTTAGAGAAAGGCTACTTCTGGGAAGAAGAAAACCTGGTAGCTAAGCACAGTCTTCTAACTGAGATGTCTGGTAAGGCATATGCCTGACTCTTAGTCTCTCTGTTTATAGAATGAAAATACTACAGTCATCATTCACTAGAAAGTTAAGAGACACTGTGAAAAAGTTGTGTCCCTAGGATGAAAGGAAGATGTGTAGAATATCACTGGCAAGACAAGATTATCCTCAAAATGAACAAAATTAGAAAGATACTATCAAAGCCACATTCTAACGTAATTACATTGACTTGCTCACATGTGGAAATGGTCCAAGAGCATCACCTATCAACTCTTCTGCAGAGAAATATGAACAATTCCTTACGGAAATACTGCTACCATCCAGCTGTGAATTGCTGCTATTAGAATTAGAAATAGGGTAGATTATTTTGAACCAAGATATAGGCAGACTCACAAATTACATGAAGCTGTGCAAATGCCAAGTCCACTGCCAGTCAGACAGTGATTTCATTCTTTCATAAACTCTCAAAGTCAAGGAAGGTCTTCAAATGCTTTCTCCTCTCACTGGGTATACGTAAGAATCTTTCCATCACCGGAAAAATGTTTCTCGTACATCCCTCAGGGTAAGGCACAGAGGCTGTCTAGAGTTTCCATAATGCAAAGTGTTTTAAGAAAGGCTTTAAGGGTAAATATAATGGAAGAAAACTAAAGAAAAATTTCAGTAGCTTTGACTATAAAAGAGAGAAAAGCTTCTCTCTCTCTATGCACATATGTATAAGTAATACGTGCACATACCTACATACATAAACACACGAGCTGCAGAAAGTAAGCCATAATGATGACAAATGTAATTAACTGTAATTACTGTTGTAGCCACAACTGGGACAAAACTAGGACTGACTTTTACTGATTTTTAAGTTTGTAATGCTCTAACTTGAAACCTGGGCTTCAGTGCATTATAAAATTCATCATGGAGATTTTGAAATCACCTCAGAGAGATTCAGTCATTCTTCAAAGCCGCTAAAACTTAGGGACAAGAAGCCTGTGTAACCACCAACCTGGCAGATATTGTCATATTTCACAGAACACTCTGGAACATGAAATGTTCCTTTCACATATAAAGTCAGAAGGACTGAGTTGTAACTGATGAATAGTACTGGACCATTTATTTTTTTTCCATATGGGCAACTTGATTTCGCCCAAGAATGAGTAGCGAGAGAGATTTATATAAGATTAGTGATTGTCTAGAAAACACCAACTGGTTTCTAAAATATTTTTAAAAGTTCATTTAAAAATAGACGAGACCTAAACAATTCATAAAGGAAATAAATATATTTAAATAATCAAATCTCACAATTAAAACTTCCAAACAAGATGAGATGCCACTACAAAGATCCTTAAAAGTAAAAATACCTAACACTTGTAAGAATGTCATGAGACAGGCAACAGAATGCATTGACAATATAAAATTGATACAGCCTTTCTGAAAAGTCATCTGCCAATATGCACAGAAGTATGAAAAATATTCTTAACTTTTGACTCAGATCTAGGACTTTATC